GTTGTCACACACAAACCCAACGGATGCTGCATGGATGATGCAATGAAACACGAGCAAAAGGTGCGGTAATTCAATCCTTACCGGGACGCCCGTAGGCGGCGAAATGTTGATTATCCATGTAGGGAAGACATCCGGCTGCGTCCGCAGGGTAACCATGTGGTCCTGTGAAGTCACAAAAACCAGGGGAGATGTAAATGATGACGACGATGGTTATTGTGAAACAAAGTATTATATACAGAGTCATACGCATTCGACATTGAATTGAATACGTCAGTTCGGTCTTTTCCGATGAATGTATGCTAACGTTATCCAACTATCATTCAGTAGATGCAACAATCACTGATGATGATGATGATGATGATGATGATGATGATGATGATGATGATGATGATGATGATGATGATGATGATGATGATGATGATGATGATGACTCGGATGATGATGATGATGATGATGATGATGATGACTCGGATGATGATGATGATGATGATGATGATGATGACTCGGATGATGATGATGATGATGATGATGATGATGATGATGATGATGATGAAGATGAATTGCTCTATAAAGTTGCATCCGTTCACGGAGTGTGTGTAGGGTGCAAGATAAGTTAAGAAAGCTTATGCATTGAGGTAGAGCGCATGAGTAAAAACTACCGTAATATGCAACCCGTTTATCTCAACACACACACACACACACCTATGTGCTTACAACATTCCATTCAGTCGATTCCATTGTGTGTGTGTATTCGTCTGCACAGTATGTGCGTGTGTGCGTACAGAATCACGTGTGAGCATAGATTGTCATAGATCGGTGAAAGGGTAGCTTACACTAACGACCTGGCTATTTGCCGAGTGCCCCTGATTTTTGGACTGTCCCAAACCCGCCTTTAAATCTTGATTCATTCGAGTTTGGCTACGCGGCACACACACACAGAGACAGAGACTCAGAGACTTTCACATCATTCAATCGTGGTGTGGAGCGGATGTGTGGAGCTAATTGAAAAAAGTGCCTTCCGGATCGGATGTGCCATTGCGTGCGTTTTAGTTCAATATATTCGAATACACAAACACGCACACACAAAGAGGAACTCAGTCCGAGGTGAGATAGACTGATTTGAGCTGTTGTGAATCAGACCGGGCCGCGTCGGACCGGGCTGCACCGGACTGAACTGGACCGGGTTGGGTTGAGTTATGTGACCGAGATCAGGAGCTTGGTTGTGCGACCAGAAGATAGGTTATCGAGAAAAGGATGTGCTCTGTGCTATTCAATGAATCTGGAGCGATTGGGGATGGCGTATAACGTTACATAAGCCGAAATGATTTGTTACACACGTACCCACAAACAGCTTTTAACAAGTTACGAGAACAGTCGGCGAATTGTTCACCAATTTAAAAAAGCTTGCTACCAATGTTTTCTTACAATCATCGTTTGAAAGCTAACTATCTAAAATCCAATTGTTCCTGTGATTCCGTTCAAAATAGAGCTGGAACAAAGTATGATGGCAACTGATTATCGGACAGAAAACAAATTAATCAGACCCAATCTAACCAAAGATGCCTGTTTTTATTTTTGATCGTCATGGTCGCTGACAATTTTTAGCCCTGTGTTTCAAGACTGAACCCTCAAACAATACCCCGATTTTAACAGTAGCTTCGATTCCGCCCGGCTAAATCTCACAACTGTCCCAATGTTGTCTTGGGTGGTTCGCAATTCCACGTTTTACATTGGTGACCGCCGTCAATGAACAGTAGGTGCTGGGGAATATGGTATTTACCTATTTGTCATATAATATTATGTACAATTATGAAAACCCACGGGGACAAGTGAGGTTTCATTTATCTCGTTAATATCAGGGCCCAGTGGTCCCTGTTCCGTAACTGTAGACTGTAGACGGTTAACACAAATCGATTTATAGAGATACGGAAAACCCCTTTTTATCTCTGAATCTTTCATACACTAAGCGGTATCACACTGCACCGCGTGGAGCATTAGGTATTCCAACTATCATTTGACAATTCTCTTGCAATATCATTGATTATTGGGATTGTGAAATAGAGCACTGGATTCCCTTTAATCGACAAGTGAAAAGCACTTCATACAAAATACTAAAGTCGTATTCACATCGTTTTATTCCCGTGTGGATACTGACCTCATGGTGAACATTTGTTGGGACGTTGACAGATAATCTATTGGGGGGGGGGAGAGGACTGAGGGTAAATAACAGTCCGTCGAATTTGCACGGTTTTCAATAAAACCAATGCATCGCGGTCCCTAAAATAAGAATAAAAAACTCAGAATGTGTAAAGCACTTCGAGTTGCGTTGCCATTTAATGATTTTGATTGATTTATAGTTTATATCCTTTGAGTAATCAGGCTGTCAAATCTATCAACGTTTAATAAACAATGAGAATTTGAAAAGCCTTGCAAGAAGGGCATATGAACTGAATCAAGTCGAGCACTACAAGGATGAACGAATTTGCAGTTTAATTAGGGTTCACTGTTGTATAAAACTAGTTTTAAAAGTCATTTAGGATCGAATTTACGGTTCTCGGATTTTGAACACAAATCGTCTATTCTGATTTGCGCAAGAGGACAGATTTAGAAACTGGCACAATTTTTTGATAGTTCGTGACTGTCTGAATGGTACTTGATTACAATATGCTATTGCACAACAGACGTCGAGGAGAGCTACACAATTCATCAGAACATAGCGAGTAACTTAGGTGTATTTTTGGGCATTCGGCAATGCTGAAAAACATACCTGCTCGATTGGATTGGTCAATCATGGGTTGCACTATACGTCTCCGGGCATTGATAAACCTGAGTAGAATAAACAGAAAGGAGAACAATTGGTTGCGTGAACATAGTTATCAGTCACAGTGATTTGCTAATCTATATATATATATATATATATAT